ACTATAGACTAACCTTGTTTATAAACTTATTTTTGCCTATGATCACAAATTTTATTATGAATTATTATTATTTTTACTGTTATTAATAACTTTATTTCATTACTAATTTTCTCCATCTTTCTAACTCTCTCTATCTTTCTCTCCTTTCCTTTCCTTAAATTAACCTGCTTTAAAAATTACTATTATTATTGTTGTTGTTATTGTTGTTGTTGTTGTTAAAATAAAAAAATAAAAAAATAAAAAAATTATTATTATTATTATTATTATTATTATTATTATTATTATTATTATCATTATTATTATTATTATTATTATTATTATTAGGTGTTAATGTATGGTAGTGCGTCAGTAGCTGAGGAGGTGTGTCACTTGAACCGCTGGGACCAATGTTCCCTCCCTCTCAATGCACTGGAGACTGCACTGGAACTGAGGCAGCTGGACATAGTGTCATTCTTCCTTAGGAACAGAGGTACAGGATATACTATTTATAGTAACAATGATACTAATTATAGTAACGCTGATACTATTTATAGTAACAATGATACTATATATAGTAACACTGATACTATTTATAGTAACAATGATAGTAACACTGATACTATTTATAGTAACAATGATAGTAACACTGATACTATTTATAGTAACAATGCTGCATATACTACATGTATTTATAGTAGTGATAAATGATACTCTTGATGATACTATTTATTAATTCTGAAGATAGGCGTGACCATAATAAATTGATAATAGCATAATAACAAGCATAGATGGCGCGTTCACCTTCTAAAGAACCTCTTCCAGACCCTACAGGACCAGGGGCCCTCTTTCTAATGCTATAGTAAGTAGTAATTTGATACTATAGTAACAACTCCAAGCTCAAAAATTTATTGCCGGGATTGACTTAAACTTTTACAAACTCCAATACATTTAACTAAACAGACATTCAGAAGCACTTTCTGCTTTTTGTCTCAGTAGGCTTGCTTTGGCTGGCTCACTTAATGTAATTATCATTAAATAATAGAATAAGAAATACAACAATTAAACATTTAAACTAGTCAATCAACTATTTGATGGACAGTATTTATTTCTAATGTAACTAGCAATGGGTTTCTCTTCTATTGTATCCAGTGCTGTAGCTAATGATGACCAACTGGGACCTCCTTTCTCTCTCACTTTATCTTCTCCTCTTAACCAGGCAGACATACACTGTATCAGGCATGGCTTACATTGTCCATGATCCATCTTTATAGCATTTAGTGTTGGATCATATAATCCTAAATGAAGTCCAAACTGATACCATTTAGTACAATCCAATTGATTGAGTATTGTTAGCTCTTCAATGACAATATCAAGATCTTTAATATCTATAAAAATAATAATTAATAATGTGTATATACACTGTACAGTCTACACTCCCACTACTTGACAATTGTGATAGTACATAACATACCTAGCTTTATTGGAGTCAATGGTGTCTTGAATTCTTTAGTTATTTCAATCACTTCCTATACAATAATAATAATAATAATAACTGATATTTGTCACTGTGCTTGTTTATCAAGGTGATATACATGAGTAGTGTATTGCTGAAAGGGTGAGTTTAACAGATGTACAAGTATATATTATTAGTAGTAAAAGCCACACAATGACAACCCACAATTATGACAAAGACTGAGTGAATTTTGATAAAAAATAAAATTACCTTTTAAAGATATGACCTTTTGATTATTAGTGCTTGTATTAATGTATCAAA